CCATGGCTCAAATCCTAGACTTGACAGCTTGAGAGTCATGCTGAGCACATGTGCATGTGTACCCAAAATCCCAAGAGAAGAATGGAAAAGAAGGGGTTGTGAATGGCCATGCCCTTTAGGGATGGTGATTTCTTACTTTCCTTCTTTATTTCTCCCCAATAGCACATGTGCCCTATGGAAAAAAACAAACAAACAAACAAACAAAAAAAGGTCCCTTCCTCTGGGCTCCTCAGCTTATTTTTCACCCTGTCACAGAAGTGACAAACACTCCTCCAGCCGTATATTATCCCTTTCTGTGTCTCTACTAGGCCATGACTTCTTTGAGAGCAGGGTCCTCCCTGAGGCCCACTTCCTAGCACAGGGTCTGGAATGTATTGGTAATTTTTGAAAAAATAAACCCAGACAGGTTAAGTAACTTGTCCAAGGTCACACAAGTAATAAATGAAGAAGCAGAGAGTCAAATCCAGGTCTGAATCCTAAAACACCTGCCCTTTACCACTCCAGTTGCTTTTTGTTGGCCTGTCTAACCCAACATTTTTTCTTTCCTCCCCCCACCCCCCTCGCCAAGGACTGAGGAGGAGAAGAAAGACTGGGTCCAGGTAACATCCAGGAAGGCTTTGTGGCAGGGGGCTGAAAGAGTATGAACAGGTCCTCCAAGGGTGGGTGGACTCTCCCCTCAATCTTACATCTAACCAGAACGGCCCTGGATACCTGTGTTCCAACAAACCTTACCATTCCCATTTTACAACTATGCAAACTGAGGTTGAGGTTAGGGAGAAACTGACAAATTGTTCTTTTAGAAAGTTGGTTCCTTTAAGGATGTAATCCCATAGAGTAAGGTCAAGCCCTGTAAAACTTTAAGCCCAGACAATGGCCAAGAAGGCCACCTGAGATTTTTTCAGACACTACCCACCCCCTACCACCATTTTACAATTATAAGACTGAGACCTGAATTTTGGAAAGGACTTGCTCAAGGTCATGCACCTAGCAGGGGCAAAACTAGGCCTAGAATCCTTTTCTGACCCCAGGCTAGAGCACAAGAGGGTGAGGTAAAGGTAGAAATGGGTGGCTCATGGGGTATTCTGACTTCTCATTTCTTATACCTCCTCCCCAGGCCATCAACTCCACCCTCCTGAAGCATGAACAGACACTAGAGACCTTCAAACTGTTGAACTCAACAAACAGAGAAGATGAAGATACCCCTCCCAACTCTCCAGTAAGAGTCTCTGCTCTCTCCCTCTTGTACTGAGACCCCTTCTACCAAGTTTCTACCTTACCTTGAGACAATCTTCCCCCCATCTCAGAGTTTAAACCAGATAGGCAATGCATGACCTCAGAAGTACAGTCTTCTGTTGACAGGGCCACAGAGAAACTATTGGGGAAACTGAGGCCCCAAGAGTAGAAGTAGCTTGTCTTTGTAGCACAGTGAGATAGAAGCAGAGCTAGGACTCAAAGGCAGGTGTTCTGCATGTGCTTCCTTGGGCAGGGGCAGGGCTAGCTGGACTGGGCTGGGGAGAAGCTATCTCTAACCTGGGACCTGGCCCTTTCCCCAGAACGTGGATCTTGGAAAGCGGGCACCTACACCCATCCGGGAAAAGGAAGTCACCATGTGCATGCGCTGCCAGGAGCCCTTCAATTCCATCACCAAACGCAGGCACCACTGCAAGGCCTGTGGGCATGTGAGTGTTGGGAGGCAGCGACAGAGCTAGGGAGGGGACAGGCTGATAACCCAAAGGCTGCTTCTGAGTGGGTACCTTCCAAGTGGGGGAGGAGGCCCCAACTCGGCTGTGGGAGTTGGTATGTCAAAGTAGAAGGTCCACTGGCATCAGGCTGCTGTTGCCTGCTTGCCACCTCAGGTGGTTTGTGGGAAATGCTCAGAGTTCCGGGCCCGCCTCATCTATGACAACAACCGCTCCAACCGTGTGTGTACCGACTGCTACGTGGCCTTGCATGGGGTATCTGGAAGCAGTCCAGCCTGCAGCCAACATACACCCCAGCGCCGGAGGTCCATCCTGGAGGTAAGAGCCAAGCCTCAGACTAACTCTCCCACAGTGACCAAATGGGCCCCAGCTACCTACTCAGTATGACTGAGGAGGCCTGGGCATCTCTGAAACATTAGGGTACTATGTGCATCTACTGATCAAGTGACCTAGGCTTTGAATAAGCAAATTGAATGCAAAAGTAAATAGAAGACAGTCATTTTTATTGAAGTACTTTAGTCTAATATTCACAGTAATTAATCTGACTATACTATTATTATTCCTATTTTATAAATGAGGACACCAAGACCCAGAGAAGTTATTTGTCCATATTGCATAGCCAACAAGTGGCAGAGTGGGATTTTTTTTTTTAATTAACAAATTGGAGCCAGCAGATGGCATAGGTTATGTCTTTGGACTCCCACATGGCCAACCACAGTTCGATTCCCAGACCCAGAGGCTTTAAACTCATGCCAGGCACATGTGTGTGTGTGTGTCCAAGATCCCAGAAGGAGAATGGAGGAGAAGGGACTGCAACATGGCCATTCCTCCAGGGGTGATTTCTCATTTTTCCTCTTAACTGTCTCTCTGGGGAGCACATGCACCCTAAGGCAAAAACTTCTTGAAAAAAAAAAAATCAACAAATTGCCTTTCTTATTACAAAGTAGGGATATGTGGGACAATATGAGCAAAAAATTATAAAGCACCACATTCCTTCTTACCCAGAAGTTACCACTTATCCTTACGAGCCAGTTGGTGGTGTGGTGGTTAAGGCAGCTGGATCCCACATGGCCGATAGCATGGTTTGAGTTCCAGATCCAGTGACTAGAAAAACAATCTGTGTACATGTATGCCCAAAATCCCTAAAGGAGAGAGAGATGGAAAAAGGATTGTGGTATGGCCACCCCTATGAGGAGGTGCTTTCTCACATGTGCCCTCTGGCAAATTAAGAGAAGGAAAAAAGATCTTACCCTTCCTATCTTTTAGGCATGTGCACATACATTCTTGTTTTAAGTTGAGGTCTGCAATATATTTAATACTCCATGCTTATTCTTTTTTTTTTTTTTTTGAGAGGTTTTCGCTATAGGGCGTGTGCGCTCGCTAGACAGACAGAGAGAGACATAGAGACAGAAAGCGAGAAATCACCCCCTGGGGGGGACGGTCACGCCGCAATCCCTTCTCCTCCATTCTCCTCTCAGGATTTTGGGCACGCATACACACACGCCCGGCGTGAGTTTTAAGCCACTGGGTCCAGGA